GGCGCTGGGCCGGGCCGGGCCGAGGGGGAGCTTCGGCCCTCCCCGGGGAGAACCCGGAGGCGGAGCGCGTCGGGAGAGCCCCCGCGGAGGAGGGCGCTGGGCTTGCGGCGTGTCCGAGGCGGAGGCGCCCACAGGAGCGGCCGCGGAGACCGAGGTGGTGGATCTGAAGCTCTTCTGGCGGAGCTGTGACCCCGCCCGCCGGGAGCCATGCTCGGTCCCAGTGAAACGCCCTACAGTGGTAGTGGCTGCCCCCGGGGCGTCCCTTATGGGTAGATTGAGGGTACTAAGGTCAGTGGAGTTCTGTGAGCAGGTGGGGTTTTCTTACCTATACCTGACCCTGACAACAGGCTGTTTGTGGAACTGAGGATTGAAGGAAAAAAAAAAAAAGTGGCTTCCTAATAACTTGCTGATGTAGGGCTAGCAATAATTAAAACAAAGTGCTCAGGCAGGTTCTTGTCTTTATACAACAAAATTATGTTGTCATGCAGGTTGAAGTTAAGTGTAGCTTAAGCTGTCCTTTAAAAAAAAAAAAAGCGCACTTCCATGAAATCCGTGGATTCTTAAAGTGTAGACAACTAAGGACTTCTGGAAAGTTGACATAAAGGATAATTTTTGCCCTTTTTTTAATGCGTGTTGATAGGAGTTCTGATGTGTTTCCGTGGATTCTTTTTTTAACCATAATTAAATACTCAAGTGACTCTGCTTTTTTTAAAAAAATGAAATTATTCTAAGTAGTATTTAAGATGTGTAGCAAAGTAGTGTTACGTAGCGGTTTGTCCACAGGTAAACACAAAATGGTTTGAGAACAATTTACCCGTTGTTGAAGTTTGTGTACATAACCCTTCTAATATTTCTGCCATTGCTGCTAGAATGGCTTCTTTTGGATTTGCCTCTGAGAAGATCTGGCTAGAAGGAGAGCACTCTGTGTGTGTGCACACGTGTATCTACTGTGCTTTTTGTCCATTCTCCTAAATCTTACATGCTAAGAAATAAGCACTGGTATTAAGGAAATTCAAAATGTCTGGGTTTTGTTCCAGGTGCTGGTATAAAAGATGAGGCTGAATGAGAGCCGGACAAGATCCTTCCAGGCTCCTGTCACCATCCATAATTACCCGGGCAGGCAGGTGTACGTGTTTCCCAGTGGCCGATCTGATTCAGAAGAGGAGGAGGAGGAGGAGGAGGAGCTCAATGTTATGGAATTGCGACCGAGGGGCAAGGAGCAGCAGCGGTGGTGCAGCACTCCTCGGGACAGAGTTGGAGACGTGGTGCTTCTGGAACGAGAGATTACAGAGGATGATAATCTTTACAAGCTAGCCCTGCAGTATGGTTGTAAAGTAAGAGCTATCTCTGTTTGGTTTTAATTACTTTGGAGGTATTTTACACATAGCTTGGTTTCCAGAATTACAGGGGAGTGTGCTGATGTCTGATAGTTTTGACACTGAAAAGTGTTTGCCCTGAATGGTCAATGTCTGGGTAAAACTGAGCTGGAAAAAAGAAAAGAAAAAAAAAAAAAACCCAAAACAAACAACAACAACAAAAAAAGGAGTTATTCAGCTAACAGGCTAGGAAGATGTTATAAACCCTGCATGACCAGCTTTCCTGTTTGAGTGACTGGAGTACAGTGTAGCAGTTGTGGTTTGTACATAGTGACTTAAGTGAGGGCAAAATGTAGGAAGCTGAGTACAGGAATGAGGGTCAGGGCCCTGCCCCCAAGGAGCATACAGTTTTTAAAGTAAACTGAACAGCACAAAGAAATACCACTCAGATGGAATCTGGTTTGGGGTGGTTGCTTATTTTTTGAAAGGTATGAGCTTACATGTTGCAAGGAAGGTCTAACAGGGGCACGCGTGGAGAAGGAGAGATGCTAAAGTTCATGTCGCAGCGGCTGGGCGCTGTCTGTGCGCGGGGGGTTTGAGTGTTTGCTGTCGCACCCAGAAGCGTGTGTGGTTCCGCGTCTGCAGGCAGACGGGAGTGCGTGTGCGGGGTGAATTTCCTCTGGAGTTGGGACATGCTACAGAATATGTTTTCTTTGTTCCAAAAGCAGAGCGCTTTATGGAAAAACTGTTGAAAAGTTTAATTACCTGATCTGAACATTAGAAGTACCCCATTGTTTAGCAGTTAAAGCTGTATTTTTAGAGCCTCCTTTATCTGCAAGCTAGGCTGTGATTAAAAAGTTCCATGATGCAAACAATTGGACAGTGACCTGGATGGGGATAATGATACAGTACTGGCTCAACTGCTGCAGTACTATTGCGGTCTGTCTTGCTTAACAACACAACAGCTGTGTGGTGCAGCTGAAGCAAGAGGGCTTAAGAGGAATTGCGACAATTCTTTCCCCTCCCATTCCCTTAGAAACAAAAACAAAACAAAAAAGAAACGCTTCTAGGTTCTGCTGACGAGCCTGATGTGAGTGTGGTGGGACTTGAATAGGCCTTGATTGGCACCAGTAGAGCCTGAGAACTCGGAGCTGCAGAGACTTTGCAGTTGTGACTGTATGCTCATCCCTAAGCAGTAGCAATTGCATCATTTGTCACTTATGCAGGATCACAGCAGTTTGATGAACTCCAAGAGGGAAGATTCTGAACAACTCTTTTGGTTTATGGGATGAAAAAGCCTGCAGTGCCCCCCATACTGTAACTCAGGAGGCCTCAGTCCTCTCCCTGCAGTGACTCTGCCGCTCGGCTCCCGCAGCCTGTCAGCCCCGGCAGGTCGGGGTAGATCTACCCTGTCTGGCCTGCTGGAGGCTGCTGGGCTTGTCCAGGGGGAAAGCAAGCTGAGGAGGAGGGACCAGGTAGTCAAGTGTTCTCCTCCCACAAGGAAAAAACTGTCCTACTGCCCGCCTGCCTCCTGGAAAGGGCACTTCTGACTTGTTCCAGTTAAACTGAAGAGGTTCAGAAATCCTTATTATGGGAGATCTGTGTATTTGTCTGTTTACAGACTGTCACTGATCAATTTTCATGTGTTTGTTTTACTTGCACAATTAAGCAGCTCCTGAAAGGCTACCAGGACATCCGTGAGGAAAATCTGTAGCCACAAATATATGTGACTGTGTTTAAAAAATCCAGGATGAGCTGCTCCTTGAAATCGGTGAGAACTTGTCATTGGTCTCAAAATCGTCAGGGCCTGCGTGAGGTGGGCTGATAGGACAGTGCAATAACTAGCTTTGTGTGTGCTACAGAGAACTTGGCAGAGATGCAAAGCACTTCAAAATTCTCATTTTTACTCTTGACCATTTATAGTCCTGGCCTGCTTTTGGCATTGTTCGTAGCTGGGACAAGAGGAGTTCACTGCAGCCAAAAAAATGAGTACAGAAAATAAGCCTAGATGGCTTGTGCAGAGAGTGCTCTTGCATGCTTCCCATCAGCTTTGTTTGTTGTTTCTGCCTGAGCGCTGCTCCACTTTGTTTCCAGAGCTGTAGCACAACATGGTAGTGTTTGATTGCAGACACTGCAGGGGGTATTTACTGTCCCAATAATTCGTTGTTATTGGAACAAAACCCAAAATTGAAGCACCACCTCAGCTAGGAGGCTTTGGGCGAGATTGTTATTTCACAACTAAATAATTTTGCAGGGTTTAAGTCTTGATGTTATGCTGGGGCAAGCTGTGAGGAGTCTGAACCAGCAATTGAGGATTCCTTTTGCCTGAGGGGCACCAGGTTAGGCTCTGGATTAAACATCCCATTTTCAGATTTCTCAAGCTTGGCAGAGTATGCATGAGATTCAGGCATCCATCTCCTCTCTACCTTTCAGCAGAGTCTTGCCTTCTGGCTGTGCCGTAACAGACTTGCTACAGTTCCCTGAACCTCCTCCACAGTGGGGGCAGCTCTGCGGGCAGAGCCGCTGCAGCTCTGGGGTTCTCCAGCCGTGGGACCCCGCTGTGGGCTATGAGGGCTGTCCCCTGGCAGCCCCAGCGCTGCTGGGCAGTGCTGCCTCCCTCGCAGCACAGCCTGCAGACAGCCCTGAGCGTTGGTTGCAAAGGAGAGGTTCAGGATCCCCACTGGCCTTGTCTTCTAAAGGGAGATCTTTGTCCTGAACTTTTGGTGATTTGTGTGCTGCTGGCACTTACCTACTTGCTTGGAAAGTAAAGCACTTTCTTGTTTCCAGTTGCCCAGTTTCACTGGTAGCCTCAGGCTTGCGCGAGTGCCTTGAATGCAGTTTGTACAGCAATTTATGAGATTTCTAAAAGAACAAGTGGAACTTTCTCTGAAAGTGCCGTCCGTGTGCTGTGTCTGTATGATATATCGGAGGGGGTTAACATGTTCATGTTGCCTTTCTCTTTGGTTTGGGGTCCTGCTCTTTTCTATGTTGCAAGCTCCAGCCTTTCCCTTAAGGTTCTTTCGTGTCTCCTTGGCTGCTCTGAAGAGCTCCTGCACACATTGACAGTCCTGTTCATTTTCTTCGACAGGATTTAGGGCAACAAATTATGTACTTCCTTACTAGGTGGTTGTGGGTGGGCACTCTATTAAGGTGTCTTCTCTTTATTTAACATTAAATAAAGAAACGCTGCCTTGCCTTTGTCTTTTGTGTGATACCAGCTGTCCTTATGACTTACGCTGTACTTACGGTTTGCTCGCTCTTGCTCTTCCTGCTCTTCCATCACTGAGCTGGGTGGGAATCCCGGGCAAAGGAACCACCAAAGGTGGTCTCCAATGCCCAGAGATGATTGCTGTGAGCGTTCCTTCAGCGGGAGCATTCACCAGCTGTGGAGAAGGAGCTGCTGTGGGGCAGAAGAACGGTGCTGCTTGGGAACACGAGCAAAGGGTGCTCATGCCCGTGTCGGGGATATGCTGGCCCGCCCGCTGCCAGGCTGGGATCTGGCTTTCAAAACAGCGTATGCTCCAAAGAGTGAGCCTCCTGTTCACTCCAAAACTGCTTTCTGAGCTGGGCAGGGGGAGTTTGCCTGCTTGTTTTGGTGGTGTTCTCTCACCTTAAACACTCGTGTGTTGTTTAAGGTGTGAAAACTTTCTAAATGGATCTGTTATAAAGACTCTACTTGCCTTAACTTGGATTAGAAAGTGGGTAATGAGAAGGGTAAAGAAAGCAAAAGGAAGGAAAACCAGTATTAAGCAAAATATAGCATCTGGGAGATGCAGAGCCCTAGAGGAGGTTGTAGACTGGTTTCAGAGGGGACTGTCTGTCCTGCAGGACCCGGAGTGTCCCTGGAACAGCCAGGGAATCTGTGGAACTCTGAGCTGTCAGGGCCTGCTGTTCTTTTCTACCCACTGCTCACAGACTAGTCTTACAGCTACTTCCTGCTGCAGCACTGGCTTCTCCTACACTGATACTCGTGTCCTTTTTGGATTCTGTAGGTTGCGGATATCAAGCGTGTCAATAACTTCATCCGGGAGCAGGACTTGTACGCGCTGAAATCCATCAAGATCCCTGTGAAGCCCCACGGGCTGTTAACGGAGAGCGGCGGAGAGCTGAGGCCGCCCGCGCCCTCCCAGCCTGGCCTGACGCTGGTGGACGTGCCGGAGCCCGAGGAGGGGGCGAGCGGCCCGGCTGGCAGCAGGCACCTCAGCGACTACTTCAGGGGGATTGACAAGAACATCCAGGACGCGGTGCAGGCGGAGGCGCAGCTGAGCGCCGAGTACTGCGTGGAGGCGCTGGAGAGGCCCCTGCCCGGGTCAGGGAAGCGGGACACTGGTAACGGAGCGGACTGTGGAATCCAGTGGTGGAATGCAGTTTTTATTATGCTCCTGATAGGAATTGTCCTGCCAGTATTTTATATCATCTATTTTAAAACACAAGGCCTGGTGGCCCATACCTCCAACACAACACTAACCTCGAATACTTCAACAGTTGGATTGGAAGGGAAATTACCACAAAGCTCAGTTGTAGAAAAAAAATCCTAATGGGGAGAGGCAGCTCAATACGGCCTCTCCTCCGGGCACTGGGGCCCTTACGCCAGCGACTCTGACTCAAGTGCATTCAGGGGGATAACAGTACAGATGACTTTAATTTTTTTAAGTAGCTGATGTTGTAATCCTGAACTCAACTGAAAGTTAAGTGATGTGATTTTTATGGAAAGTAAGGATGCTTTGTTGCTTAAAAAGGTCATCAGGCAGCTGGCTTAACGTTTGTGAGCGCTGTTGAGGGGAAGTGTTTTGTAGCAATTCACTCATCCTGGTTCAGGTATTTCTTAATGCCTTGTCTAAGAAGTGAATCCTTTTGCTGCTGAGATAAAGAGTGCAGTATTAATGTGATGGGAAAGGTGGGGGTGGTTTGCATTTTAAGAAAACACTTTTTGCTTAGAGTAGAAGCGGGGGCCTCTTCTTTTTGTCTGAACTGTCATTTTTATTTCATGGAGACCAAGGCAGTTTCAGCACACTTAACCTGACTGTGACGACTTCTGGTGTGTCAGGTTGGATGTGCCATGGCACGGGGACACTGCCAGCACCTCGCCTTTCAGCCCTTGAGTTGAAGCTGTGTTTAGGAGGATGCTTCAAGCCCAGCGCTGGGAAGGGTGAGCCCAGACCTCTTCACCCCCGTGAAATCCTGCAGAGGCTTCTCTGGGGAGCCGCTGTCTCTGCAGGAGGGAGTCAGCGTAGCGATAGGCCTGTGGTCTGTGGTGCGCACTCCCTGCGAGCTGGTGTGTTGCAGGGAGAGGTTCAGCCGGTGTTACTTCTTAAAAATAATAATAATCCATACTGGTGCATCTCAGACACCCAGTTTCAGGCATGGAGTTGAGTTTCCTTGGGTGTAGTCTTCACGGGAGAGAACAGTGCCAGGTTGTGTTTAATTTGCAAGGCCCAGGAAAGACGAAGCCTGGCGATACCCGAGGCAGTCACAGAGTGTAACGCCTGTAGAGGAGGGGCGGGTGTGGAAACTGCTGATCCTTAAAGGTCTCTGCGGACCCCTGACATTTGCAGTATAAAGCTTCTGAGTGTGGAGGAAAGACTCATGATGCTTTGGAGGCTGGTGGTGGCCCGAGCTCTGCACTGGTCAGGACGCATCACTACAATCTGCACGCTAGAAGGGAGCAGAAAATGAGGCGGGGGGGGCTTCGCTCTAGAGAATATGTCTCAGAAATTTACTTAGCGGGCAGAGGTAAACGCTCTCCTGGAACTAAACACTAAAGTGTTTCGCAGCACAGTTGCATGAAACCTGGCCGGGAGGCGGGAGGTGGCTGTGCTGGAATAGCAGCCGGCGGCGAGGGGCTGGCGCTCTGTCTGTCTGTCTGTCCGCCCCCCCCCCGGGCGGGTTGGGCCAAGCCGCGGCAGGACGGGCTCGGGGGG